GTCTTCCGCCTTGGGTGTTCGCAAGTATTGCGGTCCAAACACTGCCACCACTGCCCTGCGGAAGTTGTAGAAACACTCAATGATCATGGACTCGGCCATGCGCCCATGGTCGTCGAGTGAATCACCGGGAGCTCCGTATGCAAGCATCCTCATCGCTATCATGCACTTCTGGATTGAGGTGAATCCAAGTTTGCCGGTGCAATCCTTCTTGTACTTGAAGTAGCCTCGAACTCCCGGATGGAATTCACAATCCTGAGGAAAAGCTTTCGGCTCATCCGATAACGACGCCGAAATACTTTGCCACCGTGCAGTGGAGCGTCGACGAAGTAGTCGGAGTAGAGCATGCAGTAATCTTCCAGACGATGCCGGTTCTTTGCTTTCATCCGCCCCGGTGCCAAGCCACCTCGCCGCGGCTTTTCATTGCTCGCGAACAGGCCGGCGAGGGCGGCAAGGATCATGAGATGCTCCTGTTCCTGGACGTCGGTATCGGTTTCCTCCTCCCGCAGCGCAGCGAGCGCCTCCTCGTCGTCGGAGTCCATTGCCGAGCAGGCAAATCGCCAAACACCTCGCGGGCATGGTGGGCGCACACCCGCTGGTACACTGCCCTGCACGGCCGGATCATCGGAAAAATCGCCCGGACGGTGGTGGAGAGGCTCTGCTGCGGTGAAACCTTCTTTCTTTTCTTGCGGCGAATGACCTATCTAGCGGTGGTGGGCGGTGGACGGCGCCGGGATCGGTAGGTGGCGGCCGAGCGCGCAGGGGGTGGGAGGCGAATCTGGACGGTTGGCTTGACTTTTCGCCTGACAGTGTGGCCTAGGCGTGTTTTTCTCTTGCGTCGGAGCTCCTGAGCGCCTCCTAGTGCGCCGGGTTCGGCCTGCGATCGCCGGGCCCAAAAACAGGCTGAGCCGGCGGATTTCGACGTCTTGATGGCGCGACTGGGGGGGGGGGTTCGACGCCGGCGCGTAAAAAGGCGCCTGGGGGCCTGTTGGGGGCGTGGCTGGAGATGTTCTAAAATCTATGTCAATGACTTTATGCGCAGATTCATGTAGATTTGTTTTTCTTTTTGTGTTTGATTGAGTCACTTAAATATGCCGTAGATAGACCTGGTGTAGTTGTTCAATAGACATGAAAGTGTTGTTAGCTGGGGCATCTACTGGGTGCTGTAGTTGAACCCAGTAGTTTTTGGTTCAAATGTTGTGTGCATTTTTATTTTTCTAGCAAACATGCCCACGCATTGCAACCGTAGAAAAAATCACCTCCCCATACACACACTGGACGATATCAGCAAATCCCTTGAAATCTCCACAAAACAAACAACATGATAAGTGGTGTTACACAAAAACGTAGTGGTTGAATATCATATCTACTCGGGTTAAATGGGATAGAAAACATACTATGTAATATGATTTTTCCAAAATACCCCATATAGAGAAGGTATTAATTAAGGTTGCACCATAAACTTAATTTTAGAAATAATTAACATGCAATATGATATTATATTTGAAATTTACACATTTTTCCGTGGGATTTTCATATATAGCATGTTAGATTTGGAGTTAGGGTTTGAAAAATATGAATATATTTAATAGCATTTGAATTTGCACCAAAAAAGAAGTGAAAAGGAAAAAGGGGCGTGGCTAGGGTCGAATCCAGTAGTCAAGTGAGGCGTTAGCTACTAGGCTAGATGTGTGGATGTGAAATATTAGGGACTACACTATATATAACCCAAAGGAAACGGTCTATTCAGTGAAAATCATTTTTCCACTTACAGGTGACATAAGTGGGTAATTATTGACAATTTTAAGGGCAATTTTCATGATGTACCGTCAAAAGCAATAGCCCTTTATTATTAGGTATGTATAGACCAACAAGATGTCCGTGTGTTGCCACGGAATCATTGGTTTAGAGGTGATGAAATAAAGTTAGTGTCCTTTATAACCGTTGTGTGATTTACGATTAGAAAAGATAGCAAAAATACGATGAGAAACATGCAGTGCTAGATAATTTTACATGACCATATGTAGGAGTTGAAGTTATATTTTTGTCTTGTTATTTGTGCCTTTTATAAAAATAAAATGAGTCTCACATGAAAGTAGTGTATTTGTTTATTTATGATATCACACGTGAGTAAAGTACATTTGTTTATATGCTTTTTGAAACGTTGCTTCCTATGTGAGGATGCGTGTATCTGTTTATTGAACTCATCACCAACACCAATCTTTATAAGTAGGGAAGAAAAGACATTGCTATATTTTTCTCATGCTGAGAGGGTGTTTGGTTGGGCTTTTACTCAGTTTTTCACTTTGACTTATAATCCCTCCGTTGCCAAATATAAGCCTTTTTAAGATTTCAATATGGACTACATACAGAGCGAAATAAATGAATCTACACTTTAAAATATGTTTATATACATCCGTATGTAATCTGTAGTGAAATCTCTAAAATGTTTTATATTTAGAAACGGAAGGTATATAATATGGCTTTATCCAAAAGCATCTAAGTAGATGTTTTTTCTTTTGGCTTAACCGAAGTGAAAAGCTAGTAAAAGCCTAACCAAATACCATCTGATAAATGGACCAACACACATGTGCTGCCTAATCAATCCCAGTCTACCTCAAGGCCGAAAAAGCAGACTTTACTCATCTAGGCCTCCTCAGCAAGTCACATCCAAAGGCAGGCCTGACACGTTTTCGCTCTCATCCAATGAGACGGTGCAAGTTCTTTGTAAGTGTGAACTCGTGCGCAAACCCACAAGTATCATGAACAAGATTTCTATGTGCATCCTGCAATAAAAGCTTTTGTGTGGAAGAACTTGTGAGACGTTTCGTGTATTGACTATTGAGTCTCACTTATCATGCATGAAGCTTTTGATTATGTTCCCGACTTGCTATCCTGCGTAAGTAGGGATGGAAAGTGGTAGCGGATAATTTAAAATATCCGCTATTCGTATTCGAGAAAATGCCTATTCATATCCGAAACATCCGCATCCGAACTAAAATGGAAATAAAAATTATCCGTATTCGTATTTATTAAACAAATAAAAAATAAAATATGGTAGGATATTTTGACACAAATATGGATATGAAAGTGGATATATCCGTATCCGAATAAGATTATGGGAGGTAATTTTTAAAATTCTAGGCCAAATATTCCAATTATCCAACATAAAAGCCAAATAAATGGTCAAATTTTACTCTTTATATGATTAAACTTATAAATTATTATGCATTACAATAGTATTTATTCATAAACCTATTTATTATTGACTTATTGTATGTCACAAGTTGATTATTTTAGGTCACATAGCTATCGACTAATTTACTTAAGCAATATGTTGATATTATTCGTATCCGTTCCGAATCAAGAAAATATCCGATACGTATCCATATTCGAATAATATCCGAGCCGCATCCGTATTCGATAACATCCGTATTCGGATTCGTATTCATTTTGAAAATATGAAAATAAAAGTGGTAAGAGCACTATCTGATCCGTATCTGATCCGTTTCCACCCCTATGCGTAAGGCCATCTTCAGCGCAGGACCCTATCTTGTTCGCCGGACGCAGTTTGGATAAAAGCGGACACATACAACGACCCAACGGCAGACCCCATTTCATTTTTTCGTCCGCTTCGTGTCCATTTTACCCCATCTTTGACTCAAAGTTGGTCTAAATTTGAGGCAAAAGCAGACAGAAAACGGACGCCTCCGCGTCCTCTTCGTCCGTTGTGTCCAGGCGTGCCCCACATGTCACCCTCTCTCTTTTCTCTCCCCTGGCCCACCGTGTCCACCCACCCGCCAACGCATGCAGCCACGGGCTTGTCTACCGGAGCAGCGCGGTGTCGGCCGGAGCGGGACGTGGTGCGGCGCAAGCGGCGGCCGGAGCGGGGTGCGGGTGCGAAGCAGGCGGCGGGCGAGCTCGGCGCTGGCGAATCTGGCAGGCACGGGGCCAAGCTCTGGTGTGCGAGGGCGTGTTGGCGCGGACGCGGGGCGGAGCTCGGTGACGTTGGCTTGGCATGCGGCAGGCAGGCGAGGGCGGGAGGGCGAGGCTAAGGCAGGCGAGGGCGAGCGGGCAAGGTCAGGCACGCGCGGGGGTAGGCGAGGGCATAGGCAGGCGGGCGAGCTCGGCGGGGCACGGCATGCTCGGCGGAGAGCAGCCGTGGGTGCGGGCGGCGAGGCAGAGCGCGTGGGCGGCGGCACAAATACGACCCGACAGGCGGGCGACATGGTACAGCTGCAGGTGACGACGCGTGTGCTGCTGCTGGGTGGCGAGCGAGCGGGGTCTGCTACAGCTGCCGGCGTGCGTGGGCGAGCTGCATGGCGCGGGTGCTGCACAGCTGGGCGGGCATGGCTTGGGCGAGCACGCAGCAGCGGAGCGCAACAGGGGGCTTGCTTGCTTGCTAGCGAGCCGCCGTGCGCTTGCTAGCTTGCGGCCAGCGCGCGCGGGTGGCTGGTTGGGCGCGGCCGGGCGAGCTCACAAGTGAGACATGATGAAGGCACGGCCGGACAGTTTAAGGTTGGTGATCCCGCTGGATGCACAAATCCACAGGCGTGCAAAACTGGACACGTGTGTCCGTTTTCCTATCCTAAATGGACGAAAAGCAAACAAACATGGATATCCGTTTAGAATCGTGCGATAAAGTCGGCCTAAGATTTTCCGCTCAATCGGAGGGATGTTGACGAGTGTCGGATGGGAGTCATACGATCTTTGACTTACACAAATATAAAATGACAAGCTGTCCCAGGTATACCAAAAAATATATCCACGAAACAATTCTAAGCCAACTCCCATGTATTCCTATCTGCTCGCATCACACAGAAAATTTACACAGATGGTCTTGAGCCTAACTGGAGCCAAACTTATAACGACGAGGGCATTTCCAAAGTAATCAACCCAGTGGAGTGAGAAAACAAAATGACGGCAAAACACAAATCATCACAATCCTTGTCGACAAATGCCGCTATAATAGTACATGCCTCTCAACAGTTCATCTCATTATCTTACTCTCCAACCCTTATGCCAAACCCAAACTTGTTATCCTTCTTCCAGTGATCAATCTGCACAAGATTGTACATCAAAATCAGCCTTTCAACTCAAATCTGGACGACTCATCTATCAGGGAAAAACCATTGAAAACAACTAATATGTTTGTCCCTGTTTTGGCAACTTTTACTTCATTAATTCAGACTTGATGCTTGATTCAACATGCTAAAAGGAAAGGCAGTACAATAACGCAGGTCCTTGCATGGAATAAGGGAAGAGGTAAACTGACCTCTGCAGAAAGAACCAAGGTAGCGTATGGGTTGATTTTCTCCTCCAAAAGAGCAGAAACTGCGCCATTGGTATCTACCTTTCCCCTCAAACGACTCTGCAATGTTGAGCCAGTGTCGTTAAGCTTTTCACATGCAACTCAGACATGAATTAACCATAGACTCAAATGCACTTCAACAGAAACAGTATTTTAAAAGAAAATTTTGTGCGCAATTCTTTTGCTATGGGAAGTTTCACAGAAATAGTCGAATATGCCACAGATTTGCAGCTACTTTTATGTTCTATAAATATCTTGCCAAGGTGATCAATGCCATCAAACATGAAAAAACTCTCATGGTATGCCTGTCTCCGGAAATAAACATAAAGAAACTTGCGGTTACATATGCTGTCATAATTGAATCCAATGTATTTAAAAAAAAAACTGAATCCAATGCATGGTTACAACAACTGTCATATCATTGTACATGAAATCCAATGCATGGGAAAAAGATGTCAAACAAACTATCATGCACATAGCATACCTGTCTCATGATATAATCATAACCCACACTTGCTGTTACATCCTTTGACATATGATTGTACATGAAATCCGTAGCAAGGGAAACCTGCATAAAGAAGTTTATGAATTTGAACAAGATAATAACAGAGAAAAGTTTCAAAATGCTACGACAGAAATATAACCTTATTAGACACTTTCTGAACGTAACTCAGTGAAACCAGTCCAGTGCTTGCAATTTGTCCAGTTGCAACCTGAAGATATTAGTGGCATGGCTCTATCAGATAATAAGAAATATAATATAGTATGAGTTTTTAATTTGTTGTCTATTCAATCATCCACCATCACTTTGATAATAATAAAGTGATATCAGCATCAGTTCTAGAGTACATCTTGTGACAACTTATTGAGTGAGAAAGAACACTTTCACAGAGACTTAAAAAGAGCTCAAAATTTTTGCTAATCACCTAAACGAACAACTTGACTTTACCATGTGCACGAGCCCTACACAAAACACAGAATCACAACTATGGCGTACTTGTCACATGATGCAAAGCAAGTGAAATACTTAAGCATTCACATTGCTTCAACCATGAGAAACAAACTCTGGAAAGCGCAGTAACTCTCTGGAGACTGCCGAGTAAAATAAATGCTTAGAAATTTGCACCATTATTAAACTTTTCCAAGAGGGAATCAGACGGCACACTTAATAAATGATCTGCAAATAAATGCTTATAAAATTGCACCATTAGACACAGCAAACCTGAGTGTTTTAGGCCCAGTTTCCTGCACTTAATTTTCAATATTAACTCAAGGTGGATACTTTGTGCTTTCCCATACTGGACAAGTTTTTGTTTTCTTAGTTTCCAGACAATTCACGATTAGAACCCCATAAATCAGCATGTATTATTCCAATATTAGCAACCTGAACTAAATGTTGCTTTGTAACAGTGTGTAAAATGGCATATCTCAGCATGATCAAAAGGATCAGTAGGCAAAAGCTGATCAAGCGAAAATTCCTCAAATGCAGTTTTTCGGCCATAAATGTTATTGGAATATTAATGCATCACAAATTCCAAATGCCTAACTATTTTATATGGATCATGGTTATGAACAGTTTAACGAATACAAAAAACTTTACCATGTTCTTCGTGTCATATCTAGCAAGAAAGCCAACTCCTGATTTCCTTTGTTGTTGAAGCCAAAAACCTTCAGTTCCCAGGGAGAGGTTCTTCGTTACACTCTGAAATGCACAGGTAAAATATGTTGCAATAGTCTTAAGTATCGAAATGATGGGACAGAAAAATATTAGCAGAATATACTGTCTGAGATTTTTTTTATTGTAAGTTATAGGTTCAATTGACGACAGTATGCTGTCTTCTCTATATGATTCATTTTTCTAGCATCCAGTATATGCAATAAACTATTAGGGAAATATGAATGCCCAACTAATATTGGAATGATAGATCTATGGTTATTATATCGGCTGCGTTTGGCTTGGAAACATGCTTGGTTCTGCTTAATATGAATGCCAAGCTTCTTTGGACAGTTCAACTTTGAGCAGACTAAGAAAAATGAAGATCTTCACTTTTAGACTAAAATTGTCTGAAGTAGTACTTCCTATGCACAAAGAGTGGTCTACTGATGCACACTGAGAGCACACCCGTCTACTGCATCTACACCCTGCCAGCCTACCGCACACCATACCGTCTTTACCCTGAGTATTTTAGTTGCAAACACAGTACTTCATATTTATCAGCATGGCCATTCCGCTATAACAATGGGAATTTGACTTTACCTCCATGCATAAATGGTCAATAGTTTCTCTCAATAGTTGCTTAAATCACAATGGATTTTAGCAGCATGCATCAATGCTAAAAATTACAGAATTCATACTGCCATTAACATTTTGTTTAAAAATAACCATATTTTCCAAATGTACTCGCAAAAGGTGGATACAAAGTCTGTATTCATGATACTAGTGCTTTAGTTTTATGTGCCAACAATTGACATAAATTGGTGCATCATCTATACCTGGATGTAGTTCCCTCCATAGAAGCCATTATTCCCGACTTGACATTGGGTTCTAAAATCTTTGCCCTGGAATAAATGACAGAGGAGCAAAAATAAGTTATGAAATCATGCAGATCGTCAGACAGATAAACTAAGATTACATCAGATGAAGGAGGTAAAATACCATATGTTTTCTTCAAATATGATACTATTAAACATTAAGAACCTAACAGCTACATATCTTAGTTGGGTATCTATAGGTTTTCCGACACCAATAAGAAGACTACACAATATTAGAAACAACAAATGCATCAATGCCAACATTAGAAACATCACACGGTCAGGAATTCACGTGTAACTTGTGCTATCATTAGCATGTACCACAAAAGGCATCTTTGATAGACGAAATTCAACAGAAAAAATTGAGGAAAGAGATAACTCGTAAGATGTGAACAAATCTCAGGAGCAGACAGGCAAAAATAACTAAAACTTATGTGCTAGATTCCAAGTTTAACTGAACAGGACATTGATTTGAGAGAGGTATACTGAGTCCAAACAGCAATCTAAGATCAGTAGCATTGATGTATATTTATTAACAGCACAATGCGGGACATGGTATCATAGTTCCCTGTTGGACAGTGGAAGTATCTTACCATTGGCATGATGCTGCCCATAAAATAAGATGATAAAAAAAAATAAACGACTTGCAAAATCAGGAACTAAATGCTCAAAAAGAGACTGACCTTGTAATCCAAATTAAACATGCCTTGGGAATAACCAGGCTCGTTTGTCAACTGCGGAAACAAAAACAAGTTAACTTAGAGACTCAACAACATTCAGTGGAGCAAGCTCATACTTGTGCCCAAAGCAATCACCTGAGCATTTATTTGTGCGCAAAGATTTTCTGTGACATCGTACTTGACACGTCCATTCAGCCTTCCGTCGGGCGAGATCCTACCGATGAGCATCAACTAATAAGAGGAAAACACATTTAGATGATGAAAACATTAAAAAAAAAACATGAATTTAGCCTGACAGAAATAAAACCTTGGGATCAATATAGTTGGCGCCAAACTCATAGTGGGAGGTGGGGACTTTAATCACTTCAGGTCCCTGTGAAGGGACCTCCATGGATCCCATTGACGCACTGTTACAAAGCATATGCAACGGAATCGTAAACATTGCAGGCAGATCGCTACCAGCAGTTTAGCTGAAAAGAAACGATGGGCATTGGGAAGGGTACCTGTGGCTCAAAAACAAGACCTGGCTGACCGGCTTGACGAAATCGAAGCGAAAGCCCTCGAACACGTCGGGCTTGAGCGTCACTGTAACGAACAACATGGAAGATGGCAGCATCATTAGGAATCGATTCGATTGGCAGTGATGTCAGACGCAAGGGAGGGGTGTTCTTACTCGAGGCCTCGCGCTGGGCATCTTCGTAGGGAATAGGGCAGCGGAGATTCAGGTAGTCCACCTTGTCGTCCTCCGCCGCCTTGTCCTCCTCCTGGTGCGGCAACGGCGGGGGAGGCACCGGGGCGTAGGGAAGAGGTGACGCGTCGGCGGGAGCTGGGGAAGGAGGAGGCGGAGGAGCATCCTCGTGGCTGAACGTCGAGCCCATGGCGGCGGCGGCGGCGGCGGCGGGAAGCGATCGGTGCGCGTGCGATTTGGGGCGGCGTATAGGTTGTGCGAGGCGAGCTTTGGCTTGCGCCGTCGGCTGGGGAGAGAATTTAGGGAGGTGGGGTTTTAGGAGGGTTTTCTCTGCTGTTGCGCGGACCGTGAGCTCTTATCTGGGTCGCTAGATCGGCCTCGAGATTCGTGTTACCGGACTTTTCTACCCCTGTTTTTCCTCCTCATCTTGTGCTTCAAGCATACAACGGAGAGTCCGATGCAAGCTGTTCCTAGAATTGGAAACGGATTCCACGATACTCTTACGACCTGTAGTTTCTCATATGGTGGAAATTGAGGGTTCTTGCGTACATGTCCGGTTTGACGTCTTGGTGATCACATGCCCAGGCCGCCTCAATGATTGAGCGAGTTACAAGCAGGAGCACCATGCATATGGTGTAAGTGCATTCACATATTACATGGTTACGCGAAATAATTTGTTTTTTCCGGTGCAACGCACGGGTATATGCCCTAGTGTTTAATCGGATACATATTGTACGTAGAGATTTTGTCGACTACGGAATAAAGATGAACATTGTTTAACATACAAATATAAATGTCTATTGAAGCATTTTTTTTCACAAAAAAGGTTTATTTTAAACCGGATGAAAAGAGCGAGACGCAAGCCTCATCGAGCGAGCGACACGCGTCCTCTAGGCCCCACGCGCCGCTTCCCATCTCAGCCTTGTCCAACGCAGGGCAGCGCACATCCACGTATTTTTCTTTGCCCGATGCGTCGTCTTCCTCGCGCTCACCCATCCACTCCTGTGAGATCCCTTTCTCTTCTATTGCCCACTGCACATGGCCGAGCATCCCTTCTCTTCGCTGCCCCTCTCTCGTCCCCTGATGACGGAGTTGCTACTGCTGCTGCAGGGGCACTGCTGCCGCTCTGGCAACTGCGTTGCCATGAATCGAGGGAAGCTTCAATGCACGACCACCGCCTGCCATGGCCGTCCAAGCTACTACTACTGCAACAGGGAGCATCTGCGCATGGCCATCAGAGTTACGATTTGAGCATCGATCATGGCTCTGTGAGCTGCAATGGAGCTCGCCGTGCTGCGAAGGTGACCACGAAGAGTGGTTGACGAGGGCATTGCAACTCCGACGATGTTGCTTTGAAGCTGTTGGGAGCACAGCTGGTGTTGCACTGGAGTAACACCGGGACGCCAGAAGCATAGCGGCCGCTGCAATGGAGCTTCGTTGGATGTCGTCGGTGCTACGTTGGAGCTCCGCCGGGGCTGCAACGGAGCTTCGCCAGACGTCGTCGGTGTTGCTTTGAGCTATGGTCGCACTACGTTGTGCTGCAGTGGAGCTTTGTCGGGGTGCCGGTAGCACTGCATTGAAGCTGTGACGCGCTCGCTACTGCCCTGGGTTGCTGCATCGAACGGGCACCAGTTCGTTGATCTAACGACTGGCTAGGCAGATGATTTCCTAGAGAAATCATCCGGCTGATTTGTAGCAGCCCCTTTTTCTCTCGTGCGTGGCGACTGGAAACCTACCACCACTAGGAGAGGCCAATCTTATAGTGATGTCCTCCGGTGGTTGATACGTCTCCAACATATCTATAATTTATAAAGTATTCATGTCATGTTTATAGTAATTTTATATGGTTTTGGTATGATTTGGATGGAACTAATCCGGACTGACGTTGTTTTCAGCAAAACTACCGTGGTATTATTTTTTGTGCAGAAATAAAAGTTCTCCAAATGCAACGAAACTTTTTGATGATTTTTTTGGAACAAAAGAGGCACTAGAAGTTTCGTGAGAGGGCCAGAAGAGCCACGAGGTGGGCACAACTCACTAGGGTACGCCACCCCCAAGGCGCGCCCTGGTGTCTTGTGGGCCCCTCATGGCCCATCTTCGCATGAAACCAATGCCAAAAATATATATAAATACAGAAACCCCCAAAAATAACCCTAAATCAGAAGTTACGCCACCGTAAGTCTCTATAGCCATAAAAACCAATCTAGACCCCGTTTCGGCACCCTGTCGGAGGGGGAAATCATCACCGGTAGCCATCTTCATCATCGAATGTCTCACAACCACCATTATTCACACATACATGTTGCCTTGGTGCCTTCGGAGCACGATGACAATTGAGAGTGGTTCATGGGGGCGGTAACGTGTAATAGTATTCTCCTTTGGGATATATGACCTGGTCGAGCAAAAATCCCGCTATTTCCTCTTGAAGTGCTAGTATGCGCTCCATTGGTAGGAGCTTCTCCCGCACCTCTTTGAACTGTTAAGAAGGAGATCAATATGCATGTGTATTAGTTGTGTGACTAGATATCGATAATGATGTAAAAATTGTGAATAGTATTCTGGCAAACATACCCATTACTATCTTTGAGATTTGCTTTTTTCGGATGCCATCATGCGAATATTCTCGCAAACATAGTATGCACACAGACCAGTCTCCAACGCCTGCTTCAGGGCCTTTACGAGAATGGAATTTAATCAGATAATAATTAATCAAGCATGATAATTAATTAATGGTATTGAAATAAGAATTAAAGAGATGGTAAGCTAGCTAGTACTACTTAATTACTCCCTTCGTTCCAAATTACTTGTATAAAAAACGGATAAAAATGGATGTATCTACAACTAAAATACGTCTAGATCCATCCACTTCTGTGACAAGTAATTCCAAACGGAAGGAGTACTTACCTTGTGTCGATACCAAAACAGATTTTGTCGCCATTTGCCTGGAGTCACCTTGATGAGCTTTGCCCAGCCCTGCCCGCCAGCAAAGAAAGTTAATAAAGGAGTTATTAAATAGTTGATATCAGGAAATGACGAACTAAATAGGCCGATATATAGTTAATAATGATTGAAATTACATGTTGACTATCCCCTTCAAGATGGTGTAGTCACTTTCTTTTTTAAGTAGTGAGTCCAGTAATTCAACTTTTCCTTCTTCAACTTTAATGTCTAACAAGATCCAGTGATAACTGCATGCGCACATGTTTGCATGTCTTAATTAAGTGGGCATGTGCATAATACTAATCAACTACCCTAAACCCTATACACTTAATTATTAACATCTAGCTAGCCAGTAAGCAAAAACAGAATTTGTAGTACAAGACAGTGTGACTCACCGGAAGTTGTAAGGAAGTAGTATATCTTCATTGCTATTGAGGCGCTTCAAGAACTCTAGCATTTTATTCTCTACATCTTGTTTATAATATTCATATGTCCATGTCTTTTCATTAATGGTATTGGGTCAATGAACCCAATGCCATAGCGTCCAACTTTTTCCATTTCATACATTTTCATCCTGCATAATACCACAAAAAAGAATATAGTGAGGATAATTACAGATAATGATTGATCAATGAGCACTAAATCTAGCTTGAGACTTAAATTACAGAAAGAAATCACTTACAAACAATAGCAACTGACGAGAGATTTGTCGAGTGCATCTTGATTGAATAACTGAAATAGTTCTGAATACTCAACAGACAGAGCTAGCTTATGGAAGTAATGCTCTTCCTTGACCTTCACCATGAGGAACTCTCGATTGGAACTCTTGGTAATTTTCATGTACCAATCATGCAATTCATACATTCTCGTTGGGAGGTTCTTGACCTCCTCGGGCTCGACCAAAGGTTGGCCGCGGACATATTTCCGTTTTATTTCCTCCTCTCTAAGCGGAGACATGGGCTCGATCTCGAGGAGTTATCCAACAGTGATACCGAGCATTTCAGCCTGCATTATATGCTCCTCGGTTATTACCAGATTGCCCAGCTGGGGAACAGTTTGCCCATATATATAGGGCGGCGGTACTCTCATGTGTTGTTGGCACAACAAGCGGGGGGATCGACTGCGCCGCCTGTTCTCCCAGCCGGGGAACAGTTTTCCCGTATTTTTTGTCGGCTGCTTGGCTCGAGCACGAGCTCGACTCCTTCTGTAGTCGTGCTCGATGTGCCTTCCTGATTTGGCGCTCATAGTCTGAGTCAACAGGCTTGGGAGCTGGTGGTCTAGCCATACGAATAAAGTGGTCAATCTTTTCCTCAGGCACTTTCTCCCTTGGCGGCGGTGCCGGTTTCGGTCCAAAATGGGCATCCACTTGGGCCTGCACTATGGCTGCGTTTTTCTCCTCGGTCATGTCGTAAGGCCTCCGAGGAAGAGGAGCGAGGCTTGGACCATATTTATATCGCTTGCCTCCGCCTGTACCTCTTGTACTACCTCGACTCGTAGTGCTACGCACCATAGCTGCGGCGGCTCTCTTCTGCGATTGCTGAGGCGGCGGAGACGGCTGACGTGGGTGAGTTGGAGTAGGAGGAGTGGCCTGACGTTGTGCCTGACTTGGAGGAGGAGGAGTGGCCTGACGCGTTGGTGAACTTGGAGGAGCGGGAGTCTGCTAACGCGGTGGAGGACTTCGACGAGGAGTCTGCTGACGCTGTGCCGGACTTGAAGCAGGAGTGGCCTAACGCTTTGCCGAACTTGGAGGAGGAGGAGTGGCCTAACGCTTTGCCGGACTTGGAGGAGGTGGAGTGGCCTAACGCGGTGGCGGACTTGGAGGAGCGGGAGTCTACTGACGCGGTGGCGGACTTTGAGTAGGAGTCGGCTGACGCGGTGTCGGTGGCCTTGGAAAGATGATGCAATCCTTTCTCAATATGATGATATGATGTTTGGCCTCTCCCAGTGTGTGCTCCTCGTCACCTCCAGGAATGTCAAGCTCTAGCCTCGAATATTGGTCCACCACTTCATCAACCTGGACACAAGCATAGCCGGCTGGAATCGGGTTGCAATGGAAGGTTGCATCGGGGGAATTTGTATAAGCAATGGCGTCCGCCACCTTCATGGATATGTTCTTCATTTTGAAGTGTAGCTCATTGTTAGTGCTCTCCATGATGTCATCCACAGGGTATCTATCCAGCAGTGCGTTGCCCGAGATGGAACCAACGCTGCTTCTCGGCACGGATGGGACGGTGCTATCCAATGCTGGATCATCCGCTAGCTGCTGCCGCTGCTGAGACCCCCTTTTCCTGGCTAAGTGAGTTGATCTGCTCCCGCTGCCGCTGGAATTTGAGTGCCAAGTCCGCATGCGCTGATTCTAGGCCTTGAAGGCGTTCTGCTTCCTGCTTCCTGCTTCCTCTGCTCCTCCTCCAGCTTCCTCTTCTTCTCCTCCTCCATCTTCCTTCTTGCACGGCTTCTGTAGTCGGTGTCCCAGTCCGAAAAGCCCTCATACCACGGAACAATGCCCTTGCCTCGTGTTCTTTCTGGGTGTTCAGGATTTCCCAGGGTGCGCATAAGCTCATCGTTTTCTCTATTCGGCGTGAATACCCCCGTTTGAGCATCTTCTATTGCTTGAAGTAACTTATCTTCGGCTTCTTTTAGACTTGGCTTCTTCGAAACCAGGCTTGTCTTCGGGTCCAACGCCCCCCATGTGCATAGAACCAAGTTCTGTACCTGGGGGGCAGTTCCTAGTAACTGGAGTGACCCCTGCATCCAGCATCTCTTGCTCAGAATTATCCCACTTAGGCATTGCCACCGCGTAGCCACCTGGCCCCAGCCTATGGAACTGCGTCTTTTTTGCGGCATTGGCCTTGTTTTTTCTCGACCGTTCCTTAGATAATTATGATTCCTTGAATTTCATGAAAGCGGGTCAGTGTTCTCTTTGCTTCTCTAGTGTTCCCTTGAATTCTGGAGTCTTCTTTCCTCTTTCGATGTAGTTGGCCCATACAGTTTTCTTGTGGGTGTTGAATGCAATTGCAATCTTCCTAAGAGCAGCGTCCTTGACTTTCTGCACATCTGCATCGGTGTAATGATCTGGTAGGGTGAAATGTTCCATGAGAGATTCCCAAAGTGTTTTTTGCTCTGTCATCGACCCAAGTAAGATCTGGATGTTTATTTTTTTGGCTCTTTCCATTCTTGAATGGAGATCGGGAGTTGTTCCTTCACAAGAACTCCGCACTGACGAATGAACTTGTTCGCAATGTTCTTAGGCGTGATTGGTTCGCCATTAGGTTTGATGGCATCGATGTTGTACTTTACACCGTCCTTCAACTTTTTGCCCGGGCCTCGCTTTGTCCTACTGTCTGTAGAAGCAGATTTGCTCGATCCGGAGAGCTGAAAGAAGAAAGATCGATTCGTTAATATATCTTCAAATCAAAAAACATGTGATGATCACCAGATGCCTGCTTATATAAATATACCTCGCCGGTCTTTGTTATTTCAAGATCAACATTGTCTGCATCATCATAATCATAGTTCATGACTTCATCAATTCGGTCGTTGAGATCGAATATCTTATCATCACCCTCCTCGGTATTGTTCAGATATTCGGAGCCGTCATAATCTTCATTCTGATCATCTGGGATCGTTGCAGAAATTAAATTTTTTCTACGCATCACCAAGATCAATCTATGGAGAGACTAGCAACAAGAGAGAGGGGAGTGCATCTTCATACCCTTGAATATCGCGATGCGGAAGCGTTACAAGAACGCGGATGAAGGAGTCGTACTCGTAGCGATTCAGATCGCGGTTGATTCCGATCTAAGCACCGAACAACGGCGCCTCCGCGTTCAACACACGTACAGCCCGGGGACGTCTCC